ATGATGTCTGACCTTCCCGCGGAGCGTCTAGGTTACCGCCAGCCACCGTTCTCGAACTGCGGCGTCGATTATCTTGGACCATTTCATGTAACCATTCGGCGATCTTCCGAGAAACGCTGGGGTTTTCTATTTACTTGCTTAACGACTCGCGCAATTCACATTGAGTTGGTTTCATCCATGGACACAAGTTCATGTGTGATGGCTATCGAGCGCTTTATTTCTAGGCGAGGAACACCCTCAATAATTTGGTCGGACAACGGAACAAACTTTGTAGGAGCCGAAAAAGAGCTCCTTCTGTGCATCAAAAATTCGAACGCAGAAGCTCCACTGTCGCTCTTACACAAAAGAATTAATTGGAAGTATAATCCGCCAAGTGCACCACATCAAGGTGGAGCATGGGAGCGAATGGTGCGCAGTTGTAAGTGTGTGTTTTATGCAATCTTAGGGTCAAGAAAGTTGACTGAAGAGATTTTGAACACAACTATGTGCCTAGTTGAAGGTTCACTAAACGCCCGTCCACTCACTCCCGTTTCTGACGACCCCGATAGTCTTGAGGCTTTGACGCCGAATCATTTTCTCTTAGGTCAGCACAGTCTAACGTTTCCGTCTCTAAGGTCGAGTGAAAACTATTCTCACTCTAAACGCTATGCCCGTGCGCAGTCGTACGCAAACGCAATTTGGCAGTGGTGGTTAAGTGAGTACGTCCCTACACTCAATAAAAGAGTTAAGTGGCATGCTCCTCCCGAATACTCTTTGAAAACGGAAGATATGGTGTGGTTAGTTGAATCCACTAGCCCTAGGGGCCACTACCCACTAGCACGCATAATGTCGCTAAACTACGGCAAAGACAACACCGCCCGCTCCGCAAACCTAAGGACCGTTTCCGGAAACTACACTCGGCCGCTCGTTAAGCTCGTTCCGGTTCTCGCTCCTTCGGGGGTGGAGGATGTTAATGCTACATAGCATTAAAGTATGAAAGTATAGTATAAAGCCAGTATAGTTGCTTAGCAATATCAGCTATATAGCTCAGCGTATACATAGTGCGTTCCGGGGAGTTCGGCGTGGGTTCGATTCTCACCTAAGTCGTTTCATTTGAGAATCCTATTTGAGCCAAACCTGAGAGAACATAAAATGCTAATATTTTAATCGCTTCAAAATTGGTTTGCAATTGAGTTTCCGTTAATTGAACTGCGTGAACTAAGTATGAACTCATTGTGAAAAAACACATATATCACACAAATCAGGGCATGAATAAGCCCACTTTTTAACTTGATACGTGTAATGTTGTTGCTAATTCCGTGCAATAAAAAATTACTAAAACTCGCCGTTGATTGATGATTGATTCTCTTGAATTATTAAACCGATTCTGTTCCTGTTTTTATAAGTTATAAAAAAGTTATAAAAAAGGCCAGAATATAAAACCACTCGTTAAACTATAAAATTCATGTTTGTTTCAGGTGGGGGAAGGAAATAGAGCCTTCTCGTAGCCTAATCAGTCCTTATGTCAATTTTCACAACAATCGAACAATCTGAAAAAAGTTTCTATTGGTAAATATTTGCAGGTGGGGGGGGGGGGAGGAGAAAGAGCCAAAAGAACATACTGTTTTCTAGCTCTGCAGTTTCAAAAAAATTTTTGATAATAATATGGTTTCTTGGCTCTTCTTCCTTTTCCCCCCACCTGCAATTTTTTACATATAAATTTATTGACGGCATTGTCCGATTGTTAGGAAAATTTACATACAGACTAATTAGGCCCCGATAAACATATTTGGTTGTCATACTCAACCTCGTAAAACCACTCGTTACACTAATATATTGAAGCTCGTATGAAGTGGGGTGAAAGGAAAAAGAGCCGGTTTCTTTCATGGTAAAGATCTTAACCCATACAGTGTTTAGTTTTTTTTTTGTATTTGTTGTGGGGCAATGAAGGAAAGAGGAGTATGTTTTTGCTCTTTCACACATATGCTTTCACGACAAGGCAAGAATGAAAATGGAAAAATAAGAACGCATGATTGACAAAAGAAATCGGGTCTTTTTCCTTTTCCCCCCACCTGCAAATTTTTACCTAAAAATTTGTTGGCCACATTGTCCGATTGTTTTGAAAACTTACATACAGACAAAAAGGCCACGACAAACATATTTGGTCTTCATATTCAACCTCGCAAAACCACTCGTTACATTAATATGTTGAAGCTCGTGTGAGGTGGGGGAAAAGGAGAAAGAGCCAAAAAATCATTTGCATAGTTTCGCCCACTTTTCGCAACTTTGCGAACTCTTTTTTTTGAAAGAAGCCCGATTACAGCAATTGAAAGAGCAAAAACTGCTCTTTTTCCTTTTCCCTCACATGCATATTTTTACGAGTAAAACTACTGTTCCCACCAACCGATAAACAAGCAAATTGGCATGCGGACTAATCGGGCCATGACAAACATATTTGGTGTAAAACCACTCATTAAATCAAAAATACGAGGTGGGGGTGAAGGAAAAAGAGCAGCAAAAACAAAAAGAAAGAGCAAAACATACTCTTCAACAGTTAAAACTTAGTTGAAGATGGCCTCGGGGAAAAGAGCCGCACTCGGGCACCTCCTATAATTACAAAAAAAACTGGCTCAATAAAAGTTTCCCCCCTTTCAAAATATCGAGTCTTATGTTTGTTTTATGTGTTCTTACGGCTAATTGCGTAATGTTACGCTGTAAAATATGAAGAACAAATCTGTTCACAGTTGTCGATTTGTTCACCACGCCAAATTTTATTGCATTATGACGACGTTAAGTAGGCTTTTCAAAACTGAATTTGAAAAGGGGGAAACTGGAAAAGAGCCAAATAGCTGTTCAAAAACTTTTCACATGGCGTTTAAGATGAAAAAAAAATTGTAAAAACTTATTCGCCTGTTCACTCTGACACTTTCTAAAGCAGTTTAACATGAACAGTCATTTTAACTTGACTTTCAGATTTTTAATTTCGAAAAAGTCAAAGTGGGTGGGGAAACGGGATTAGAGTGAGATTCTGCTATAACTAGCATTGGAATAAAAAACCCAAAGATGCAGAACGACCCGGTTGACGTCCATAAAAGAAAAATGCTTGTCATATAATTTCATGGCTCTTTTCCAGTTCCCCCTTTCAAAATCAATTTTGAAAAGTTTATATAACATTGTCATATTGCAATGAATTTTGGCGTGGTGAACAAATCGACAATTGTGATCAAATTTGTTTTTCATACTGTACAGCGTAATATGACGCATTTAGCCGTAATAACACGTAAAACAAACATAAAACTCGGTTTTTTGAAAGAAGGGGAACTGGAAAAAAGCCAATTTCGGCTCTTTTCCTGTCCCCCCCCCCATTGCTTTTTTCTGAAATTCATTAGATGAAAGTCTATTTAAAATGACTTTTTATGTTTTAAACTGCATTAAAACGTGTCAGCGTGAACAAGTGAACAAATTTGTACAGCATTTTTAACATGCAAATTGCCGTGTGAACAATTTATGAACAGGTTTGTTTTGTAATTTTACGAGGGGGTTGGAAACTGGAAAAGAGCCCCAATTTCATTTATGGCGACTATGGAACAAATGCTTATTCATACAAAATTTAAAAACTTTTTTAATCATTTTTAGAGAAATACTTCTGTTCTATTTCCATCTTTTGAGTCATTCTACTCAACAAAAACATATTTTTAATTTTGGTAAAAAAATGCTTATCATAATTTTTTCATATATGAAAATTGTATGATAAGGATTTTGTTTATACAAAAAATAAAATCTTCAAAATCAATTTAACGATGTTTCTGGATGAATTTACATGAGTTTAAAGAAAACTTTATTGAAAGAATGCATTTTGACTCTCAAAAACATGATTTTAATTTTGCTCAAAAAATGCTTATCATATAATTTTCAGATATGAAAATTGTATGACATGCGCGGTTTTTCATAAGCAAAAACACAAATCTGATGTAAAAAAACTTTTAATACCTTTTTTGATTGCAAGCTTGCTTTTGTGCTCAATTATCAATTTTGCGGAAAAAAAATTGCATGCAAAGTTTGATTTTTTGTGTTTATAACGAAGTCCGGGATGAGTTTTTCACCCAGAAAAATCCAAAAATCACAAAAAATGTGTTTTTTTTGGCTCTTTTTTCTGAAAAGTTTGAAAAGCATTTGAAAAGTTTTGCAGGTGGGGGGGGGGGGGGGGGGGGGGAAGGAAAAAGAGTCGTTTTTTTTTGTAAACACGATTATGATTTTTTTATTTCCTTTAATAAAATATAAATAAATTTGTAAAAAAAACAGGCCTTTTTTTCTCAACTACCAAAATTTTCAAACCAAAAATTATCTAGCCATATACAAAAAATTACTTTTTTGATATAATTCCATGTGAAAATGTAAAAAATAAGGTAGTTGGCAAAAATCGCCAAGTGCAGTTTATCTGCGAGGTAACTGCCAGTTACACTCTGGGTTTTCTTATGACAAAAAGTCCAGGGTCCAGTTCTTATGACAACAAAATTTCAAAACAACTTTTTTTGGTATTTTCATTTATGGAAAACACAATTATCATACAATTTCTTAGTATGGAGAAAATGCCTAGCATAGTGTTTCATAGCAAAGAAAAATGCTTATCATGCTATTTTCATAGTATTTTTTTGGTCTATGAAATAGAATGAAGTAGTTTGATAAGCATTTTTTTCATAATATGAAAAATATGATAAACAGTTTCCGTCAACCCGTGGAGGGTGTGGGAAACTGGAAAAGAGCAGTTTTTTTATTCACTTTTTGTCAGACAAGAATTTTTTTATCGGTTTTTTTTCCAAATTATGCAAAAAATTCAAGTGTTTATGTAAATTTTCACGATAAATTGATAGCGTGATTGAACCTTTAAAAGTTAAAGTTACTACGGGTGGGATGTAAAAGAGGCGGTAAAAGAGACTTTAGTTTTCTAACAAAATAGGACAGAGGGTTCATATACCTTCGTCTGGTTCTGAAACACAAATAAACAAATGTTAGCTGCTTACAATCAATGTCATTTTGCAGGTTTTGTTTTTCAATTGCAGTTGCAGAAACACGTGAAGAGGTAGAGACACGTGACGAATTAGAAACCCGTGAAGTTTTTGAGGGTAATACAACTGCACCTGCGTCGTCCGATTTGCTAGCCGCAGACCCCATTGCACCACCTGCAACACCACCACGACCTCCCGACGTTCCTGCAGCTCCTCCAACGCCTAGAGTCTTCGATTTGTAACCTCCGCGTGGGGATTGAGGGTACCGTGGAGACCTATTGGTCGGGGATCTCAGGGGTGATTTGGGCCTCGACGGGGACGACACGACAAAGGCGGGGGAGGAGAACTCACTTGTAACTCAAATAGTGGTCACCCAGGTTAGCTTTGATGCTTTTCAGTCGTAAGAACGTTCTTCTGAAATGTTACCGCTTCTTTTTCCCGTTTTAATGACAATGGGGTTAAGTTTCTGTTGACTTAATTAATCTTGTTTCCAGAATAAAATTTTGATTCAGTAACTTTTTGACGCATGTAGTTTGAAACAGTAGGGGAGAAATGTGCTCTCGATTTGCCTAAATTTACAAAACTCCGAGGAATAGGCAACGGCTAAAGAATTTATTGCTATATGCCTCAACCTAAAAATGCATAGGTTGTTTTAAGAGCCAGCAATTAACGAAAGGCGACTGCAGTAACTTTGGCTCTCTTTATGCTTGCGTAAATTAATTGTCACATTATAACGAAATTTCTGAAGATAATAAAAAGTTTCTATAATGTTTACTAAAAGTCAAAAGTCCAAAGTCAATTTATGAGTCATAAAAGTTTAACCTGGACCATAAATCACGTGGTAAATTGAATAGGAATCTAAGGAAAAAGGAAATCCTGACGCATAATCAGCGCTTTGATCAATTGTTGTCATTATTTCTTCAAAAAGTGTCCTATTTAAATTCTCTTCCGACCCCACGCCTAATTCAATTTTTAAAGACAGGAAATTGGAATAGTAAAATGGAAAAAAGCTGAAAATCTGAATAAACATTTGAGCGGTTGCTAATTATTAAAAAGTGGATTCTAAGAGATAGAGTCCTGTATGTTAAATGCAGCGGAAACAAAATGCCAAATGAAAAAGTCCCATGCATTGTCATATTTTGATGCTTTTTTGATCGTTATGGTCATCATTACCTCGATACTTGAAGAAGTCATTTCATTAACGTACACGTTTTTATCAATACACTTCTCTTTTTTCTTCCGTCGTCTAATTTAACTTCAAACCGAACAAATTTCGATTAAAAAATACTTAACTGCCGAATTTTTTTTTCATGTACAAATTTCCAATAGACCCCAACATCAAACGGTTTTTGTTAAAAAGCTCAGGTTAATTGATCGTTCCTCAAAGATAAATTAGGAAAATGCTCGATTTTTCGATTTGACAAAGCAAATGATTGCCAAGTCAATTATCACTTCTAAGTTCGGTAATTTTTTTGTGGCTCTTTTCGAGTTTCCCTCCCTCTATTTTTTTCTGACACTCAATTTATAAAATTCTGCTTAAAATGACTTAAGATGCTCTAAATTGCTTAAAAAATGCAAGCGTGTTCAAGTGAACAGATTGTTAATTTATACCTTACGTGTAATTATCATTTTGAAAAATTTTTCAACAATTTTAATTTGTAATTTATACGAGCGGATGGTAATCTGGAAAAGAGCCTATTCCGTTTCTTCTCCAAATGACGAATCCATCCTTGCTTTGAAAAGTTAGAAAACAGTTATCTTAGTTAGAAACAAATGATTAAAAAAGTGACAATAAAAATGAAGAGAAAAAAATGACTAGAAAAAATTGACTATATTAACGGAAAAAAGTCAAAAATTTTTAAACTTTAACTTCACTGTGATAAAAACAAACCCCGCCTAGTGAACTTTCAATGCAAAGTGAAAGTGTCTCTTGCCAATCATAATTTCCTTGCTCCCAGAAAAATTGCCCCCGAAAACTATATGCCTCCGCAGCTGGTTTTTGAAACACAAGTGATCGATAATATTTTGGTTTTACAAAAGATAAGGGTCCAAAGAAACTTATTTGTCACATTGATTAGTTACTAGGAGCAAAATCTATCAATTTGTACTTTTTATGGCGTGTGGGGTTACGATTTTCACAAAAAAAATCTCAAATTAAAAAAAATTAGTTTTATTTTATTATATTTAGTTTTTTTCATGTTATTACTGCTCCATAAACATTAAAAGGCAGTTGCAACATTCAGGGCTTTGCCCTGATAACGGCAGTCTTGTTTTTCGTCATCATTAATTTTGTTCTTCACTTAGACAATGAGAATGTAATTTTTTTAAAACATTTTTCAATTTTTTTTAAATTTGTTTTTCAAAAAATTATTTCAATCAACTGTCAACCTGTTTTCTGGTTCTGGAAACCACGTTGGCCAGCATGAGTTGCCAATTTGTAATCATTCCAAGGTGTTAAAATTTTACAACCAACTGGTTTTCTTTGTTTAGGATGGTAGTTTATAGAGAAAACAGTGAAATTAGTCACTAAAATCAATTTCTAAATTTTTCGGTAAATTATATTGATAACTTGGATTTCAGTATCAAAAGAAACTGCTTTTAAAACATGGCTTTAATGCTTAAATTTAATCGTTGTTTTTATTTGTAAGACTGAACGATAGAATTTTGGAAAATTGCACAATTATAATCGGCAATAAACTTTTTAAAAACGTATTTAATTAATTTGACACTCGTAAAAAGTTCGTTTCTTATAGGCTTTAGTTTAAACAAATTAACCCAAGCCTTGGTATTATGTGTTTTTTTTAAATGCAGCGGAAACAAAATGCCAATTGAAAAAGTCCCATGCATTGTCATATTTTGATGCTTTTTTCATCGTTATGGTCATCATTACCTCGATACTTGAAGAAGTAATTTCATTAACGTACACGTTTTTATCAATACACTTCTCTTTTCTCTTCCGTCGTCTAATTTAACTTCAAACCGAAATTTCGATTAGAAAATACTTAACTGCCGAATTTTTTTTTCATGTACAAATTTCCAATAGACCCAACATCAAACGGTTTTTGTTAAAAAGCTCAGGTTAATTGATCGTTCCTCAAAGATAAATTAGGAAAATGCTCGATTTTTCGATTTGACAAAGCAAATGATTGCCAAGTCAATTATCACTTCTAAATTCGGTAATTTTTTTGTGGCTCTTTTCGAGTTTCCCTCCCTCTATTTTTTTCTGACACTCAATTTATAAAATTCTGCTTAAAACGACTTAAGATGCTCTAAATTGCGTAAAAAATGCAAGCGTGTTCAAGTGAACAGATTGTTAATTTATACCTTACGTGTAATTATCATTTTGAAAAATTTTTCAACAATTTTAATTTGTAATTTATACAAGCGGATAGTAATCTGGAAAAGAGCCTATTCCGTTTCTTCTCCAAATGACGAATCCATCCTTGCTTTGAAAAGTTAGAAAACAGTTATCTTAGTTAGAAACAAATGATTAAAAAAGTGACTATAAAAATGAAGAGAAAAAAATGACTAGAAAAAATTGACTATATTAACGGAAAAAAGTCAAAAGTTTTTAAACTTTAACTTCACTGTGATAAAAACAAACCCCGCCTAGGGAACTTTCAATGCAAAGTGAAAGTGTCTCTTGCCAATCATAATTTCCTTGCTCCCAGAAAAATTGCCCCCGAAAAATATATGCCTCCACAGCTGGTTTTTGAAGCACAAGTGATCGATAATATTTTGGTTTTACAAAAAATAAGGGTCCAAAGAAACTTATTTGTCACATTGATTAGTTACTAGGAGCAAAATCTATCAATTTGTACTTTTTATGGCGTGTGGGGTTGCGATTTTCACAAAAAAAAATCTCAAATTAAAAAAAATTAGTTTTTTTTTATTATATTTATTTTTTTCATGTTATTACTGCTCCATAAACATTAAAAGGCAGTTGCAACATTCAGGGCTTTGCCCTGATAACGGCAGTCTTGTTTTTCGTCATCATTAATTTTGTTCTTCACTTAGACAATGAGAATGTAATTTTTTAAAACATTTTTCAATTTTTTTTAAATTTGTTTTTCAAAAAATTATTTCAATCAACTGTCAACCTGTTTTCTGGTTCTGGAAACCACGTTGGCCAGCATGAGTTGCCAATTTGTAATCATTCCAAGTTGTTAAAATTTTACAACCAACTGGTTTTCTTTGTTTAGGATGGTAGTTTATAGAGAAAACAGGGAAATTAGTCACTAAAATCAATTTCTAAATTTTTCGGTAAATTATATTGATAACTTGGATTTGAGTATCAAAAGAATCTGCTTTTAAAACATGGCTTTAATGCTTAAATTTAATCGTTGTAATTATTTGTAAGACTGAAGGATAGAATTTTGGAAAATTGCACAATTATAATCGGCAATAAATTTTTTAAAAACGTATTTAATTAATTTGACACTCGTAAAAAGTTCGTTTCTTATAGGCTTTAATTTAAACAAATTAACCCAAGCCTCGGTGTTATGTGTTTTTTTTAAATGGAAGGAAACAAGCCCAAAAATTTATACTGAAATCATTGTTTGCACAGCAGCGTTTTCTAGCATTCAAATATATTAGCTCCAGAGCAAAAATAAACAAAATTGCTCGTATCAGGGCAAAGCCCTGAATGTTGCGACTGCCTTTTAAGGTCTATTGAGCAGTAATAACATGAAACAAATTAATTGTAATGCAATTATATCAATTTTTTTAAAATTGAGATTCTTGTAAAAAATCATCCCACCACATGCCATATAAAGTACAAAGTGATAGATTTCGCTCCCATTCACATATCAATTGGGCAAATTACCTTCCGTTAACCAATTTGGAACAATTTTTAAGACGGATTAAATCTCCTCATTACGCGTTAAACGCGCCTTAATTGTCCCAAATTGGTCAAAAAGGCAATCTTTCAACCCCCATAACTATGCGAAAAATGCTTACAGGTGAAATATCTTTTCAAGTTTAAGTTCAGTACTACAATACCTTTCGAATGATGCAGACGAATTCCGTCAAAAATGGCTTGTTAAAATATTCAAAATTTGTCTGAAGAAAAAAAACCCACCCGAGCACAAATATTCCGTTACTTTCGTTACGAAAGTCGGAACAAAAACAAAAGTTCAATACTATGTTTCTGATTAAGAAAGTATTAATGATGGCAAGATTTTGCATGAAATCCCAATATGAGTTTTTACAATTATTTCATGCTATGTAGCTTTTTTCATCGAATTAACAAACTTAATTGACCAAGGAGCATTATATTGCAATATTCTTACAAATGGGGGTCATTTTGCAAGGTCAGGTCCCCTTTTGTACTATTTTGAGATATCCATTTTTGGCTGACTGGCATTAATTTTTTTAATGGCGTCTGTAGCGCCAATATATATCAATTTTTGAGGCAGAGCGCGCACTGAACAAATGCAAATGAAAAGTTTTCCAAAAGGTGTCTAAAACCGCTTTTTTGGCCTGTTTTGTCAAAAATTTGCCTGCGACGCAAAATTTTTGCTCACAATAAGGTCTTTATGAGGGTTTTGGAGAGCACAGAAAATTAATTTGATCGACTTAAAATCAAGTCGACAAAATTGTTGAAATTTTTTTGGTAAATCCCCCCCCCCCTCTCTCGAGAAAACCCTAGATCCGCGCCTGTGTTAGATAACCCTTTATAATTGACTAGAGAAACCACTATTAACAAAATGGAATAAGGTCCCACAGTGTTTCATTTGCCGCAGACCTTGTATAAAACTGTTAGCTTACCCAAGGATAAATTGCACCCAGAGTCAAAGATTTTTAAGGCCGACTTTTGAAATTGCCTCCCATAAAAGAATTGAATGATTTAAGATTGAAAGCTCAATTCAATCACTGCAAAGATTTACGATCGGAATCGACGGATACACCTGTTAAGCATCCATTTGTTTATAAATATTTAGTTGGTTCGGAAACAAGATCTGTAGTGTTTTATGACAATCGGTCATCTTGAAGTAATCGGTTACGGT